AGGGCAACAGAGATACTGGGGATGTCTGGGGACTCAGGGGGCTCCCCCTTTTGGGTCAGATTGAGGGCACAGTACCAAGGCATAGTTGGAAGGGAAGGTGTGGGACTTGGCTCCAGTCTCCTGCTGGGAATCCAAGCGGCCTGGCCTGTTGCAGCCTGCCTGCCTCCTTGCCTGGGGAGACTCAGGGGAAGGTCCTTGGGAGGTGGAGCACACCCTTTACACATGTGTTGGTGGAGGAAGGGAGTAGATACATTTCAATTTAGATATAGAAGGAGGGAGGAAGTGGAAGGGAGGGAGGGAAGGAGAGATGGAGGAAGGGAGGGACAGATGGTGGGTGGATGGGTAGGCTTTTCTCTTCCTGTCCCTGGATTCTTTGAGGAACTTCTCAAAGAGGACTTCATAGTGTAGGACTTGAGGTTCAGTTCTCTAGAAGGCTGGTTTGTGGATTGATAGCTGACGAGGTTGACTCATGGTCTCTGCAGACTTGACGGTGGTGGGCTAGGTGGGCTTGACTCGACCGCTGCTTCCTCTCTTTCCTCAGTACCTTGTCTTAAAAGGCAAGTTTGAGCCTGGCAGTGGTGGTGCACACTTGCACGCCCTTAATCCCAACACACGGGAGGCAGAGGCAGGCAGACCACTGAGTTTGAGGCCAGCCTGGTCTACGGAGTGAGATCCAGGGCTACACAGAGAAACCCTGCCTTAAAAAATGAAAACAAACAGAAAAGACAAGTTTGAGGAACCAAATTCTTGGTGAATCTTGGGTGGTGGGTGCTGCTCATGGGGTGGGAAGGAAGGACAGGTAGCTCTGCTCTCCATGGGGAGCTTTGGGTAGGCTTTGGCTTCGTCTGTGCTGTACACAGGCAGTGACATGGGGTGGTCTCTTGGAGTAGGATGTGCCCTCTCTGTCAGTACCCTGTGGTCAGCGTAACCGTTCACTCTGGAATCCTGCTCTGCTGTACCCACCGCCACTCAGGGTCTTTGGACCTTTCTTGGCCTCCTGCCTAGGAGAAAGGACCTTGTGATCATGGGTAGGACCCTAGGTCACTGCAGGTCTTCTTTTGTCAATGCAAAGTCCGACCCTGGGAATCCTCTGCTCACTGCTTCCCTGTGGCCCATGACCCTTTGATCCAGTCTGTATTGTCCCATCTTGTTCCAATGCTAGAGTAATCGCCAGAGGCCAAGCCACATGGTGCAGATCCAGACTAGTCTTCTCGGTCCCTTGGATGGGCACCCAGGCCTCAGGCTTTCTGGTTTTCCTATGTCCTTGTAGCGTATCCTACATCAAAGCAGCAGCATCCAGAGGTCGTGACTAATGGCTGCGCTTGTGGCCCTGACAGGTGTGAGGTCCTTTAGGGAGGTAGCGGCTGTGAGAGTATGGGGGCTGGAGTCCTCGTGCCCAAGTCTGGTGTGGCTCCACACTCAGTGAGCACCCACTGCAAGGTGTTGTTAAGGACAAGTGAGACTTAGCGCCCTACAGCGCTTAGACCATTGAGCAAGTGGCCGCTCTGTTTTGTTTCAGCTCCAGGGGCTTCAGGCAGGTATGCCTGAAGCTTTCAACAGGACAGCTGGGTTTGCAAACGGGAAGCTGTATTTAGCTAGAGAAGTGGGGTCCTTACGAGTGGCTCTCAGAAGGTACTTTTCAGATACTAACCCCCGATAGTGTGTGGGGGCAGAGGGTGGGGCTGTGGTGACTCTTTTGCTATAAGGCTTATTATGATGACCTGGCTGGCTGTGAAATCCTTTTGGGACTTGGGTCTTTTCCATTTCGACTCCCCACAGGAGCTGACATGACCCCAGGGCTAATCTGGGAAAGATCTCTGGCCTTAAGTCCTTGCCTGGTTGTTTTTCCAGCTGGGACTGATGGGCTGGAGGTCAAGGGCAGAGCAGAGTTTGGGCCCAGTCTCCATGCAAAAGAGTGCAGCTAGTTAACATGAAGGTTCTGTGAGGGAGGGAGCAAGCAGCCGCAGCAGCACACAGGCTCCTGAGTGCTCCCCCTAAGACTTAGCTCCCTGCATTGTAGGCAGAGGCAATTACCAGCGACAATCCTAGAGCTGCCCTGGGCCCTTCACCTGTCATGTGACAGGCTGACAGAGCGCACCTTGGAGTGCTCTGTATAAAATCCCTTAGCCGAGACCCAGTGACAAAATGCTGACCTTGAGAAGGGCCTGGCTGGGTTAGTGTTGGACCATAAGTGGGTTCTGAATGTGCTGAACTTTTGGCTTAATAAAGCAATGGGCTGGCATTATGACTCTGTTGGTAGAGTACTTGCCTAGCTTTCCCAAAGCCCTGGGGTTGAGCCCCAGCACCCCATAAATTAGGTGTGGTGGCTTGTTCCTGTAATCCCAGGAGCCAGGAGGTGCAGGCAGGAGGATCTGAAGTTCAGGGTCATCCTTGGCAGTTGGAAGCCAGCCTTGGGTATTACAGACCTCGTCACAAAAACGAGGAAGAAACCTTGTCAAAAACATCAACTTTGTTTGCCATTGCTACTCACCAAACTGGTCCTAGTGATCCCTGCTTGTGTAACTGTTAGCCCCGGGCAGAGGGTCTCAAGCTAATCACAGTCACACTTGTGCATAGCAGAGCCCTCCAGGTTTGCTGCTTATGGGGAGGTTCCTAGAGAGAGAGAACCTCTAGCCTGAGAGGGGAAGGTTGAGTACGACATGGAGTAGGTATGGAGTAATGCAAGAGGCGGAGTCCAGAGACCCTGGTTTCCAGGTAAGGGCAGACACAAGAAAACTGGCTGGAATGACGGCAGCACTTTCTAGATCCTGTTGGCCAGGGCTGGTCTGGGTAGCCTGAGTCCTAGGTTAGAGTCAAGAACACACGGACAGTAGTGGTGAGAGAGGTCTCTAGGGTCTCTCCTCCTCCTCTTCCTCCTCACCAAACTAGTCCCTAATGATCTCTGCTCCTCTTCTTCCTGCTCCTCCCCTCCCAAGCAAGGGAGGATTCTGGCAGCTTTGGTCCCATGGGTAGGCATGAGGTGTTCTCTCTCTCTCTGGAGTGGGCTGTGAGCAGTACCATCTGCTCAGGGAATAAAGTCCACCTGTGGCTGTGTTTGCCTCACCTGGGCGTAGCTTCCTGCCTTCTCTGTCGCTCTGCCCAGCTGTGCCAGAGCCGAGAGGAGACTCAGCTGTTGCTCAGCCCTGGGGAATTTCCTGGTGTGGCTGAGTCAGGGGCCCCTGCCTACACCAGGTACCTGGGAATGGGGTAAGGGGTCAAGGTGGCTGGGTTTCTGGCGTCCTTTCTCTTCCCTCTCAGTATGGAGAAAGTGTCAGGTTCAGGGGGAGCCACTGGTGTGCCCCAAGTTTTCTGGCGAGTATTCCATGCTGGTTGTAACACTGTAAGAGCCTGGGCTGGTGGAACGGTTCCGTGGGTGGCATTTCTCTTCCCTCTTAGTAAGGAAAAAGCGTCCTTCTGCCATGAATTTCGTGTCTGGAATTAATGGCAGAAAGAGAGAACCAACTTCCGCAAGTTGTCCTCTGACCTACACACACACACACACACACACACACACACACACACACACACACACAAACATAAATACATTTTAAAAAAAGAGCCAGCTCTTGGCTTGACCCAGCATGGACCCAGACAGGCAGGCACGTGGGATGCGCATTTTGATCACTACCATTATTATCATGTAGTGATGGTGTGTGGAGTGTTCACTCTGCCATGCACCGAGCTCCGAGGGCAGGCAGCAGGTTGTATCACCTTGAGGACGTAGCTCCGGGGTACACTCTCTGTTATAGGTAAAGCCCCGAGAGGCCAAGCACCTTACCCAAGTGGCAGTGCTGGTTTGTCTAGTTCGTTCTCTCTCTCCTCTCTCTCTCTCTCTCTCTCTCTCTCTCTCTCTCTCTCTCTCTCTCTCTCTCTCTCTCTCTCTGTCTCTGTCTCTCTGTCTCTCTCTCTCTCTTTTAAATAATAGATTCTAGATAGGGTCTCATGAAGCCTAGGCTAACCTGGATCTCACTGTATGGCTGAGGATGACCTTGAACTTCTGGTCTTCTTCCATTTCCCGAGTGCTAGGATTACAGGTGTGGACCACCATGCCTGTGGGTTGTTTGTTTTTCGTGACAGAGTTTCTCTGTGTAGCTCTGGCTGTCCCAGAACTCTCTCTCTGTAGACCAGGCTGACTCTCAACTCACAGAGATCCTCCTGCCTCTGCCTCCTGAGTGCTGGGATTAAAGGTGTGTGCTACCGCCCCCGCCTCCATGCCTGGTTTTACGTGATGCTAAGAATTGAACTTATAGCCTTGTGCGTGCTAGGTGAGCATTTTAACAACTGACCTGTGTATTCTCAGCCCCTAGAGCTGGGTTTTGAGTTCTTCAGAAGGTACCCTAGACCATCGTGTTGGCTTAGGTGGCCCCTCTGCTCTTCTGGAGGCTCCAGTTTCTGAGGACTCACTGTCTCCTGGCGTAGACCACCTGTCTCCACCCTGGGAAAGACAGAGGTCGAGCTGCTGGGGGATCCAGAAAAGCAATGAGCATCCTTGCCAGTCAGTAGTCGTATTCTGAGCGAGTGGCCTTCCTCGGGCTCTGTTTTGTTTTTAAAATTACATTTATTTATGTGGGTGGTGGTTGCACACGCCCATGGCACACATTTGGAGGTCAGAGGACACCTTGCAGGAGTTGGTTCCCTTTTCTCATCACATGGGTCTCAGACGTGGAACTCAGGTTATCAGACCTGGTGGCGGGCGAGTGCCTTTCCCCGCCACGCCATCTCACCGACCTTATTTTTTAAAAGTTGTGGTAAAACGTACGAAAGTGAAAATTTACCATCTTAAGCGTTTGCAAACGTAGTTTGGTGACGTTAAAAGTACGTTCAGTCCTCCCCACCTCACTATCCGTTCTGGAGCCGTTTCCATCCTCTCAGAGGGGACTTTGCACCCACTCTCAGTGACTTCCCATTCTGCGCCCTCCCTGTCTCCGGCTACCTCCCTTCCTCTTTCTGATTCTGCAGGTGCTCAGAGCTTGACCTTCCATCTGTCTGTTTTGCTCCAGAATCTCCCCGAGGTGACAGTCCCAGGCAGCGATGCCAGGATGCCCGTCTCTACTGCCCTCCACCAAGATGGCAGCCAGGAGCGGCCACCGAGCCTGATGTCCACCACTTCCTCATCTGGCTCCTCTCGTGACAGCCACAGTGCCATGGAGGAGCCCGCCAGCTCAGAGGCTTCAGCCCAGAACGGGACAGGCTCCCCTTGGGGCCGGCATGTTCCCAACAGCAACAACAACTCCAGCGGCTGGCTGAACATGAAGGGACCCCTCTCCCCATTCAACGGCCGAGCAGGGACGGGTCCTGCCCATCACAAGCTCAGCTACCTGGGCCGGGTGGTACGAGAGATTGTGGAAACAGAGCGCATGTATGTGCAGGACCTGCGGAGCATTGTGGAGGTGAGTGCTGAGGCTGGGAGGGGCTGGCCAGCTCTTCAAGAGGCCCGGGATTCTGGTCTCCAGTGGCCCAGCTCTTTAGTACAACCCAGCTCCACCCCAGGATGAAAGGCTCTCGCTGGCACATCTATCTCTGTATATCTGCCTCCCATGGGGCCATGAGGAAGCTTTGGGGACCTGCCTGGTGGGGACTGTGGCCTATCATGTTTCCTTATGATACCAAGCCACATTTTACCACACAAGTAGGGTAATAGAATTTCTTATAGGTGTTTGGGGAGTGGGCATTGTGATAGCAAATGGAGGGGCTTTAGCCTGACTAGGGGGACCTAGGTACCGTGCAGGGATTAAACCTGGGCAGGTACAGTCTGGTTCCCACTCTGCTGTTTCATAGCTGGAGCCTTGGGCCTGGGCACAGTGTCTGGAGCCTCAGGTTCTTTGCCTGCAAAATGAACAGGGCTGGCAGAAGTACAGCCTTTTATCCTGTAAGGCACACAGGGAAATGTACCTGCCATTGAGGACCCCTCTGCCTGGTGGGGAAGCCCGGGTGTGAGTCCATTAGGGCTGTGTAGCAAGTTGCCACACTCCTAGTGGCTTAGAGCACCAGAAATGAATTCTCTTTCAGATTGTTTGTTTTCATTAAGGAAAAAGTGTGGGCTGGAGAGATGGCTCAGTGGTTAAGAGCACTGACTGCTCTTCCAGAGGACCCGGGTTCAATTCTCAGCACCCACATGGCAGCTCACAACTGTCTGTAATTGCAACTTTAGGAGTTCCAACACCTTCACCCAGATACACAGGCAGGCAAAAACACCAGTGCACATAAAATTAAATTAAATTAAGAAAAAAAAAGTGTAGGCTGGAGAGATGGCTCAACGGTTAAAAGCACTTACTTGGCTGCTCTTCCAGAGGTCCTGAGTTCAATTCCCAGCACCCACGTGGTGACTCACAACCATCTGTAATGGGATCTCTTGTCCTCTTCTGGCCTGCATGAAGACAGAGCAGTCATATACATAAAATACATGAATAAATAACTCAAAAAGCTGTGCGTGGTGGCCAGTGTCCAGAGGGAGTGTGTATGTGTGCACAGAAGAGTGTGTGTGTGTGTGCGCGTGTATGCGCGCACGTGTTGTGCCACAGTGCCCGTGTGGAGGTCACAAGACAACTTTGTGGAGTCACTTCTCTCCTTCCGTCTTTACGTGGTTCTAGGGATTGAACTCAGGTCACTAGGCAAAGTGCCTTTACCTGATGTGCCGTCTCTTGGTTTGGTTTTTTGGAGATAGGATTTTTCTGGGTAGCCCAGGCTGGCCTTTAACTCAAGGCAGTTCTCCTGACTCTGCCTCCCAAGTACTGGGATCGCAGAAAACCAGAGCTAATTTTCTCTGTTGTCCTTTGGCCTGTGGCTACGTTGTCCTAACCCCTTCCTGATACCTGCTTTACTCCTGTGCCCTTTTCTCTTAGAAGGACACCCGCCGTTAGACCCAGAGCCTCCTTAAATATCAAATGATGTCATCTTGAGAGGCTTAACTAATGACATCCACAGAGACCCTGTTTCCAAATAAGGTTATGTTCCAAGTTGCCAAGGGGATGTGAATTTTTGGGTAAATACCTGCAGCTCAGTACGGTGGACACTGCCTGTGAAATCGTGTCATAGCTATAAAATGCAGTATGGATTAAAGTGTGATGAGGGGTGTTAGGTGATCAAGCCAAGAGGTGCAGGGTCCTCATACCTGTCTCCATGTAGGACTACCTCTTGAAGATCATTGACACTCCCGGGCTCCTGAAACCAGAGCAAGTCAGCGCCCTCTTTGGGAACATAGAGAGCATCTATGCACTGAACAGGTATGTGCTAGGCCTGTTCTGCCCTGGGGCACACCTGGGAGCCTAGATGTCTGGACACTTGGGCTGTGACATGTAGGCTTGGCTGCAGATCATAGCACTATGCTGGAGAGGGCAGCCGCTGACCTTTCTAGGGGTTTCTAATTTGAAGTCACGTGTTTGCTGGTTCCAGCACCTTCTGGGTCTTGTGCACACTGCTAGGCCTTGCACACTTGTGTTCTTCCTGTGGGGTCTCTCTTCTCTATATCACCTCACACATCTTATCATTTATTTCTCTTCCTTCCCACTGATCCCAAGGGAAGTAAGGACTCCTTGGAGGGCTGACCTGTAATAGCAGTTCTCAACCTGCGGGTCACGACCCCTTGGGCAAACCTCCATCTCTAAAAAATATTTATATTATGATTCAGAACAGTAGCAAAATTATAGTTATGAAATAGCAACGAAAATAATTTTATGGTTGGGGGGGTCCCCACAACATGAGGGACTGTATTAAAGGGTCGAGGCACTGGGAAGGTTGAGAACCGCTGTGTTAGTATGTCCACAGGCCAGGCCAAACAGGCTTGCTGAGTCTGTGAAGGCTGAATCTGCTGCCGTGGGACCACAGCTACTCAGACCAGGGTACTGTCAAGAGAAACAGAGCGCTGTTGACGGGACAGGAGGACTCTTCCCTCGGGTCCCCTTGTAGCTGGAGGAGTCTGGGCAGTGTGTGGGGAGGAGAGAGGGTGCAGACAAGACTAAGGAAGGTGTGGGGAAGGCAGCTAGGGAGAGAGGAGGGAAACAGGTGGAGGAGGCAGGGGAGTGCCGGCTGCAGTATGTCCTCAAGTCCTCCCCCCAAGATCAGAGCGCTCAGCCTCACCCTGTCTCTGCTCCCTGCACTCTCCCGTCTGGGAGCGTTCTTTACTTCTTCTCCTTCTCTTTCTTTAATCTCTGCTTTTGTGTGTTTGACTCCTGCCCACAGAGGAGCTATGTCCCCTCCCAAGGTGGGTACCGGTGTCTCCTCTTCCGATGCTGCTGGCTGAGCACGTGGGTCTCCCTGGTTTTGTGGCATGCTGGGCGCTTTCTGTGGTTGCCGCCTGGGGCAGGGTTTTTTCGGGGTGGAAACCCCGACTCATCGCATGACACCAGGACTGGCCGTGATCTGTGTCTGAGGAGGTGGGCAGGGGGTGTGTAGCTACAGAGATGACTACAGACGTGGGGGTCTAATGCCCTCTCTCCCCTCACCCAGCCAGCTTCTCAGAGACCTGGACAGCTGCAATAGTGACCCTGTGGCTGTGGCCAGCTGCTTCGTGGAAAGGGTAAGAAGGACTGGGTCCTTGCTCCTTGTCCTGGGTTTCGAGGATAAAAACTCCCAATGTAAGATGGCACTTGAGTGCTGGGGATCCCTGTCCAAGACTGTTGGGTGGATGGGACTCCCTAGACAAACAGATGCGAAGGTGGCTCTGTAGGTTCTCAGGGATGACAGTGTCCTCAGGGGGTCAGGAACCTACCTACCTGTCCTTTGGTCCCACCATGTTTTCTGGTCAGATGAGAATCTCCCTGAAATCATTGTGTTTTTCCTCCCTGATTTTTTCTTAGAGCCAAGAGTTTGATATCTACACTCAGTATTGCAACAACTACCCCAAGTGAGTAACTTTGGGGAGAGGGGGCCATTTGATGAGTATGGGGCTTCTGCCTCCTCCCCAGCCCTTCCCCAGATGGTAACTCCCACTCCTACCCCTCCCAGCTCAGTGGCAGCCCTGACAGAGTGCATGCAGGACAAGCAACAGGCCAAGTTCTTCCGGGACCGGCAGGAGCTGCTCCAGCACTCCCTGCCTCTGGGCTCCTACCTGCTGAAACCTGTCCAGCGCATCCTCAAGTACCACCTGCTGCTCCAGGTAGCTCAGGGCTTCTCCCCAGGATGGATGTGTGCTGGGGTGCGGGGTCCTCAAGTACCACCTGCTGCTCCAGGTTGCTCAGGGCTTCTCCCCAGGACAGATGTGTGCTGGGGTGCGGGGTCCTCAAGAACCACCTGCTGCTCCAGGTAGCTCAGGGCTTCTCCCCAGGATGGATGTGTGCTGGGGTGCGGGGCAGAGCCCTGGTGTTGGTTTTGCTCAGACGCTTGTCTTCTTATCCAGGAAATTGCCAAACATTTTGATGAAGAAGAGGATGGCTTCGAGGTGGTAGAGGATGCCATCGACACAATGACATGTGTGGCCTGGTACATCAATGACATGAAGCGGAGGCATGAGCACGCAGTTCGGCTACAGGTGCTCCGGGGCTGGGAGGTGACAGGGCTTGAGAGAAGGAACATTACCACTGTGCTCAGCTGAGTTGAGGGGTGGTCTGCGGAAGCCTTTGGGGTAAGGTCTCTGTGACCGTCCTGGGGACAGTGAGGCCTGATTCTGGGTGTTGTGTGTGTGGGGTCTCTGCTGCAGGAGATCCAGTCGCTGCTCATTAACTGGAAGGGGCCAGACCTGACCACCTATGGAGAACTGGTCCTGGAAGCCACCTTCCGCGTGCACCGCGTACGCAACGAGAGGACTTTCTTCCTCTTTGACAAGATACTGCTCATCACCAAGAAGCGGGGCGACCACTTCGTCTACAAGGGCCACATTCCGGTAACTAAGCTCTCCTTGCCTACGCTGCCTTCTCTTTTCCCTACGAACCCCAGCTCCTCGGCTTCCTTCCGGCTTCATCGGGCTCCCGGGCCATCCCCTGAGACTGTCTCAAGGGTTGGGGTCCCCTTCTCTCCTACGTCATTATCTTGTCCCCTGCCCTCAGTGCTCCTCGCTGATGCTGATCGAAAGCACCAGAGACTCTCTCTGCTTCACCGTTACCCACTATAAGCACAGCAAGCAGCAGTACAGTATCCAGGTGAGGAGCGGACGACGCAGGGGGCTGGGGGACCGAAACTTCCAAGCACACGTGTGTGTGGCTCCCTGTGCCCTGGCTGCCCCCACGCCCTAATGTCTTCACCTGTAAAGTGAGAGCATCACGGGTACCTCTCCGAGGTGTGGAGATGCCCTCACAGAGCCCTTCTTCTCCCCCTGCCCCGCCCCCACCCCCTGTAGAAAAGGCTGGCTCTGCTTAGGTAGTTTTGACTCAAAAGAATAAACCCTGCTCCTTCTCCTTGGGCCCTCCCAGGCCAAGACAGTGGAGGAGAAGCGGAGTTGGACTCACCACATCAAGAGGCTCATTCTGGAGAACCACCATGCCACCATCCCCCAAAAGGTTGGCTTCTAGGGTACTTACTCTCAGACGGGCTTCAGGGAAAGCAAGTCCCCTGACCCAGCTCCCGAGAATCTGCTAGAGCTTTTTCTCCCTGGCTCTGGTGGACAGCAGGTGTTGGTACAGCAGATATCTGTGATATGACATGACACCGTGTGAATCCTCTGGTGGGCATGCGAGGCACAGTCCGGTGCTTACTATGTATGTCTCCTTCCCTTCTAGGCCAAGGAAGCCATCTTGGAAATGGACTCCTATTGTAAGTCACCACGTTCCTGGCCATTTTGTCCCTAACTGTGTGTACATCAGGCGATATCTTGGGAAAACCTTGTTTGGTACTTTTGTCTAGGAATAGGAAGGATGTTGGGGGGACTCTTTTCCATCAAGGGCTGGGGGTCATTTGTGTAACTAGTGACATGTTCCTGCTGAATGGCAGGATTCTCGGTGCCTGGAGCCCCCAGTTGCAAGAAGATGGAAGATGGGGGACCTCCAGAGGCATGCAGGACCATCTGAGGCTGGTGTGCGTGGAAGATGTGTGATCTGGTCTGGGCAGCATCTAGATAGGCTGCCGGGGAGCCAAAAGCCTGATTGTCTCTCTCGTGGCTACAGATCCCAGTAGGTACCGCTGCAGCCCAGAGCGGCTGAAGAAGGCGTGGTCCTCCCAGGATGAGGTGTCTACGCATGTGCGCCAAGGTCGCCGGCAGTCTGGTAAGAGAACGGCTTTATGGAAAAGAACCTTCTTCAGGGGGTCCTGGCCCAGGCAGGGGATCATCTGCGGCCACACAGTGGGGTGCTACTCTCTTCAGAAAACTGGGGAACACGGCAGGGTGGTTGGTGGACATCTGTGGACCATTTCCTCTCTGTGCCCATGCTGCCCTCCACCAGACACTTCCTGGGCCTCGGCTCACCGGAGCTGTCCGCCGGTTCAGGGGCCTCGGGATATTTGTTCAGTCAGGACTTGGAGTCTCTTCTTAGCCACCCAGACCTTCTTGCGTTGCTGCTCAGCCAGGAGTAGCGCTTGGGCCTCAGATGCTCCTGGAGTGACAGAGTGGAAGCCGGTGGGAGGAAAATAGCTTAGACCAAGTGGCACCAAATCCAGACGGGAAATATTTATTTTGGGCCATTCCATTTTCCTCTCCTGGGTTTTCTCCCATGACGGAATTTGCTAATGTGCTCTTGGGGTTATTAGAATGAAGTGTCTGTTTAGAAAGAGAAAAACCTTGCTTTTTTATTCTTAGCCCCGAGGGATGGCGTGGTCGGGGGTGTTTCTGTAGCTGATTTTACTTTTTTTTTTTTTTTTTTTTTTTTTTGGCTACACTTTTCTCTGACTTACCAGTAAGTCTGAGGCCCAGGGACAGACCTGGATTAAGCTGTGTTGGAGTCTGGAAGTGAGACCCACGCGACAGTAGTTTAGAGCAGATGATTTCAGACTGAGATGTTGTTTCGGTTGGATTCACGAGTGCGTTGGGTCTTGATGGGCCCCCACCTGCAGGGTCCTTCAGCACTTGTGATTGACACCTGGACCTTTGGCCTTCTAGAAGGTGAAGCCAGGTGGTCTCTGGAGAGTTGTCGTGTTTACAGTGTTTGGTGTTATTCCAGGTGGCTCCTTTTTTAGGCTAACTCGGTTTGGTTATATAAATTTTATGGTTAAAAACCTCAAGCTAGGGTCTTGCTTTGTTGGTCTCTGGCCATCTGTACTCTTCCCTTCTATAATTCCCTCCCTTTCTCTCTAACGTCCCCCCCTTAGCTTGCTATAGCTCAGCACTGGGAGAGTCTGGCACATGGAAGTATTCAGGCGGCAATGGTAGTTGTTCCAGTTTCGTTTCTGGGGTTGTGATAGAAATACTGTGTCCAGAATCACCTGAGGAGAGGATTCATTCGGCTCACACTTCCAGGTCATAGTCCATCATTGAGGGAAGTTAAGGCAGGAACTTACAGCAGACCTGCTTGTTATTACACACATTGCCTGTGACCAAGGAATTCACAGCCAAGACGTACAGCAGGAACCATGGCGGATGCTGCTTGCTAGCTGACTCACTAAGGCTCATGCTCAGATGGCTATGGACAGCCTAGGGAACAGAGCCTCCCACAGTGGGCTGGGTCCTCCCACATCAGTTAGCAGTCAAGACAATCCCTCATGGACGTGCCCACAGACCAACCCGATAAAGGCAGTTTCTCATTTGAGACTTTCAAATGATTCTAGGCTGTAACAAGTTGACAATTAATGCTAACTAGGACAGTAGTGGTGGTGGTTCTTAATACTATGGTCTGTCATGACATCAGAATCAGAACTTTAGCGCTAAGAGATAGAGATATAGCTCAGTGCCAGGGCACTTGGCTAGCATACCGATGCCCTGGGTTCAAGTCTTCAGCACCACAACAGACAAAAAGTACCTCCCAAACCAGAAAAGCACCCCTACACACACACACGCACACGCACACACACACAGCTCTGAGGTACAGCTATGTGAATGTACTTAAAGCTGTTAAAGTGTATACACAGGGGATGTGTATGGTGTGTGAATTATAGCTCAATAAAACTGTTGTCTCTCCACCTCAAGACTTCAGCCATCCAGGGTGGTCAGGAAATGAGCCAATAGGCTAAAATGTCTATCTGGCTGAGATTTTAGCCTGTGAATACTAAGAGAGTTGGGTTCTCAAAGACTCATTCATTTTCCTGCGACATGCCTCATCTTCTGGAACCTTCTAGAAGAGTTGTGTTTTTTTTGTTTTTTTCCTTTTCTGGGGCTGATTCTTCTTCAATGCCACGGATGGCGTGTGAAGCTGCCCAGTGTGGTGTTGGTGTTGGCACTGTGGGTTGCCATGGCGATGGCCTGCCTTTGAGGTTCATGTTCATCATGACGTTCTTTCGTAACAGCGAGGAGTGTTCATCCTCCTTGCTCTAGCATGTTCTGTATAGTGGCTCCTCTTCCTCCTGTGTGGTGGAGATCATTTGGTGGGTTTGTAAGAATTGTGTGAGAAGAAGGACTCCAATCACATGCTACAGCCTAGATGCCCAGGCTGAGCCTTGGGGGCTTTGACTCTTCCTAGACAGCTGTGACGGACAGACAAGTCCACTTTGGGATTAGTAAAACCTGTCATGGCTTTTAAATTCTTAAATATTCTTCTTATAAGCTTTCAACAGAAAGAATAGAATATTTCTCGCTTTGTCGCATTTTACAATCTTTAATTTTTACTGCACGTGTTTCTGTGGGTGTGTCTAATGTGCATGCTCAGGTGTGGTGGCATTTGTGTGGAGGTCAGAGGACAACGTTTGGGGGTCAGTTCTTTACTTCCAGCCTGTGTGTCCTGGGACCACACTCAGGCCGTCTGGCTCAGCAGCAGGTGCCTACTCTGATGAGCCCTCCCTCTTATTTTAAAATCAGCTGAGTGGGGTCTGGGGAGATAGCTTAGTTGATAATATACTTGTCACATGAGAATGAGGACCTGAGCTGGCTCCCCAGTGCCTGCATGAAAAGTCAGACACAGTTGTATGTGCCTCTGATTCCATTGTTGGGGAGTTAGAGGCAGAAGGATCCCCAAGGCTTCCTGGATAGTCAGTCTAGCTGATTGGTGAGCTCTAGACTTAAGTGAGAGACCCTGCCTCAAAAAATAAGGTGGGGAGCTCCTTATTGACCTCTGGTCCTTCGCATGTATACAAATAAATGCCCGTGCATACATGAACACAAAAGAACAAAAATTCAGTTAGGCGGAAGATGTGGCTTAGTGGGTAGTGTTCATCTAGCGTATGTGAATCCCTGGGTTCAACCCCAGCACCACATAAAACAGGTGTGCTGAGGTACTCCTTGGCTACGTATCCAATTTGAGGCCAGCTCCATGAGACCTCGTCTTTTAGAAAAGCAAGTAGGAGTTAGGTGGATGTAGATCAGGAATGTGCCGATTGCGTTTGTCTCAGTGGGTCCCCTGTGAGGGTCAGCTGGAAGACCTCTGTAGACTTTGCTGTGATTCTTTAAGTTTATAGAAAATCGGGGGCAGTCCTAAGCTGTCACATTTCTGTAAGGCAGCGGGTAGGGGTGGGCTGAGGGCTCTGTAGAGAGGAGACAGAGTCCTCTTATCCTGCCCCTCCTGTTTCAGGTCTGTCCCCAGAAAGGCTGGAGCACAACGAGATGACACCATGAGCCTAATAGTTGTGTTTTGTGTCCCCAGAGCCCGGTTATACCCTGTTCAGCAGGGCAACACTTCCCAGCAGGCAGCAAGGATTGGAGATGCCAGGCCTTAAGGGCCGTAGAAAGTCGGGTGCGACCTCTGCTTCCCGGCTTGCGTGCTACGAGGGGCTTGGTGTGGGGCACAGCTGTTGTACTGGTGTGCTGCCTGGAGCCAAGAGAGAGGGGCTTGAGATGGACATGTGGCTAGTGGCTAGTTGGTCTGAAGTGGGTAGCATGGGGCCTATCCCTTCCAGATGACTCCATAACCAAGGCCTTCCTGGCATACTAATACAAGGACTGAGCAGTTCGCTGTGTGCCACAGAGGAGTAGTGGTGGTTCAGGCCCCATCTGGGGCCTCAGTGACACCGTGGAGAAAGCCTCCCTGAGGCCTAGGGTGGCTGGGGGCCAGCTCGAGTGGACTTTGGGCCGGTGGCGCTGTGAGCTTGGGACCCAGGTCAGGGGCAGCAGTTTCTTGGCCTGTGCTAACTGCCCGTTTGTGTCCTTCAGAGCCAACCAGACACCTGCTCCGGCAGCTGAATGACAAAGGTGAGTGTGTCAGACGCGCAGGCGGGGATCCCTAGGTGGGGTGGGAGGGGGAAAGCAGACAGTAAACTGCTGGAGGGAATGTGACTTCAGTTCTTCACCCCGATGTCTGCAGGGAGCCTTGGCTCCCCTGCCCACACCCCGTGCCCGCCCGCCCTCCCGCCCGCCCTTCCTTCCGCTGCAGTGGGAGCCCAGCGGCTTGCACAGACCTGCGCTACTCTGTGCTGAGCTCCTGAGCTGCCAGCCATTCCTTGGAAAGCCAGGACTGGGTGAGGGGTTCAGGAGTGTAGGGCCCCCCCTCCCCGTGAGGCTTCCCCAGGGACTCTGGTCTCTCTAAAGCGGCTCTCTCTCCTGTTTCCTGATACCCTCTTCCATGCTTCTCCCATGGTGTGCTTGGACCATGTGGTGGTGTCCGCAGCCAGAGCAGCAGGAATGAAGGTGAGTACAGGGGCTCCGAGGCCAGGGAAGGGGGGCTGGAAGGAGGGAGTGTGGGTGGCACTGCCCAGATCGGTCCCTAGGGACCCTCTCATATCTTCTCCTTCTCGCTGCAGTCTGTGGTGCCTGCTTGGCCTGTGCCCTCCTATTTTCCCCTTGGGATATATAAGCTCCTTTGGGGTACTTTATTCCCAAAGGCCTCAGCCTTCCCACATAAAATGCCCCACCCACTCCAGAGGAGGCCAGCGTTGGGCATTTAGGAGTAGTTTTGTTTTGGGTTTTTTGTTTGTTTGTTTTGTTTGTTTTTTTGAGACAGGGTTTCCCTGTGTAGCCTTGGCTGTCCTGGAGCTGGCTCTGTAGACCAGGCTGGCCTCGAACTCACAGAGATCCACCTGCCTCTGGCTTCCCGAGTGTTGGGATTCAAGGCATTGCACCTCCCCTTCTCCCCTGCCAGGAGTAGGTTTTTCTATGAAGCCGTTTCTGGTCACCTCCGGGGGGGGCGCGGGGAGGTCGCCCACCAGGCAGGTCACAGGGGGTTCTTGTGCTCCGAAACAGCATGCAGGCAGTGCCGGAGCCCTCCTGGACTTTGAGCAGCCGCCCCGTGCCCGGGGCCTGCATCCAGAGGCTGAGGGGGCTGCCACGGAGGAGCTGGAGGAAGAGGAGGAGATAGTGGAGGAGGATGACCAGCAGCAGCAGACCTTCCCAGTCTCCCTGGAGGACTTGGCAGGGCATGAAGGCAGTGAGAAGGTGCCTGGGCCAGAGCTCCCAGGCTCAGAGGAGGAAGAGGAGGAGGAGGAGGAGGAGAGTCTAGCAGTGGCCGAGCAGGTAGCTGACTTTGCCAGCTCCCTGCTGGCTGCCCTCCACTGCTGGCACTATCGGGCCAACGCTTTACTTTTCTCCCGGGGTGCTATGGTGAGGTGTCTCTTTGATCTCCCTTCTTTTTTGCATGCTGCCTGGCATGTGCATGTCCTTCTGAGAGTCCCTTCCTTTGTCCTCGCCACCCTCACCCCACCCCGTTCCTTTCCCCCCAACTGTCAGCACTTCTTAACTCACTCACTGTCACGCTCTGGTGAGCCCCTGGCATGCACTGTTCTAGGACTGGGTACCCACTGGTATACTACCCACTGAGCAGGACTAACTGGGTGCGGGGAGGGGAGAGCCAGCATCCATTGAGTGAGAAGGTCACCTCACGGCATCTGGAAGGGAAGGTGGGCTGGGCTTTCCTAAAATTGCGCACTTTGCAAGGATTTCTGTGGCCCCAGGCCCGGTAGTTCAGGTTGTTTGGAATGGCTTGGGCATAGGACTGGCTCTCAGGTCCTTCCTGTACTTCTGGGCTGGTGTGGGAGGCACTGTCCATGTTGGAATGGAATGCAGAAGGGACCAGTTCTCAGTTGTCAGCTGACGTCTGCTTGCTACAGGGGAAGAGACACAGGGAGTCTGAAGACTCGAAAAGCTGCAGAAGGCCCAGCAACCGGTCTCCAACCAGTGCGGAGAAACGCATGAGCTTCGAGTCTGTTTCTTCCCTGCCAGAGGTGAGCAGCCATCAGATGAGCGGGAGCTCGTTCAGGGGACCTGGAGTCTAGATCTCCAGGTCTACATGCAGGTGTTTTGAGCACAGGGACTCTCCACTTCCTGGACCTTGCCCCTTCGTCCAGAGGCCTGGGCAGCCTAGGGGTGTGTGGTTTGGCAACCAGCCAGCCTGTTTCTCTGAATTAAACAAAGGTGACCTTCACTGGGTCCCCTCAGACAGGCCGCCTGTATAGGACATAAGCCATGCCCTGAACAGTATGCTAGGTGCCTAAATCATGCCTGTGGCCACCAGGGCAAAGGGGTAGAATGTGCATATCCATTGGGTACCTCTTGCTTTTTCCTTTTGTGCCCCACAACTGCTCCAGATGGAAAAGAGTCTTGGAGAGGTTGATTGACAACCTGTCCTCCAGGCATGGGGGCGGGGGGGGGGGGGGGGGCGTGGACCTAACTCCTTTGCATTCTCCAAGTTAAAAGGATAAGGTCATGAGTTGCACCCCAGGTTGAACCTCAGCTGGGACGGAGCTGAGAACCTAGACGACCCTAGATAGGAATATAGCTGACTACTTAAGCTGCTATGACACTGTGTCTTAGACCAAGCGCTTATAAACAACGGGAGTGTGTCATTCAGAGTAGCGAGGCTGCCAAGTCCAAGATCAAGGCACCATCAGCCGGTTCACTATCTGATGAGAATTCCCTCTCTGCTTCAGTCACGTTCACGCTGTGTCCTCACAGCAAGGAAGCTTCCTTTATCCTCTTTCATGAGGTATGAGTACGGAGCCTTATGATGTTGTCCCTTCCTAAAGACCCTGCTTGTTCATGCTCTCACAGTGGACAGCGAGTTCCAACAGGCGTTTTCTGGGATACCACTGAAGGTTCAGGCCATGGCGACTGTACTGGCTAGGAAGGATAGAATCTGGCGGGCCCTATGTATAACTTAAATCGTCCAGAATCTGGTCACGTATGTTTCCATTATGCTACTAGCCCACTACATTTTCTAGTAACCATGTTAAGAAATTGCCGGGCGGTGGTGGCGCACGCCTTTAATCCCAGCACTCGGGAGGCAGAGGCAGGCGGATCTCTGTGAGTTTGAGGCCAGCCTGGGCTACCAAGTGAGTTCCAGGAGAGGCGCAAAGCTACACAGAGAAACCCTGTCTCGAAAAAACCAAAAAAAAAGAAGAAGAAGAAATAAAAAGAAGCCAGGCGGTGGTGGTGCACGCCTTTAATCCCAGCACTCAGGGAGGCAGAGGCAGGCGGATCTCTGTGAGTTCAAGGCCAGCCTGGGCTACAGAGTGAGTTCCAGGACAGCTAGAGCTGTTACACAGAGAAACCCTGTCTCAAAAACCACCCCACCACCACCAAAAAAAAAAAAAAAAAAAAAAAAGGAAAAAGAAAGAAAGAAAAAAAGCTGGGCAGGATGGTACATGCCTATAATCTTAGTACCCAGGAAGCAGAGGCAATAGGATTTGACGTTTTAAGGCCAGCCTCAGATATATAGCAAGTGTGAGGCCATAGTGGGCTCTCTGAGAACTCAAAAGAAAAGGGGGGAAAAAGTGAAATTAATTTTAAATGTCTTATTTTACATGTAACCTAACAAATAATTTTATTATTTATATTATAATAATTTCTAATTATTTATGTTTATAATAATTTTCGCCAGAGTAACATTACTGGTTCATTCTATGCTTTATACCAAGCCTTCAAAATCTGGATGTGTCTTCCCCTCCCAATGGGTGTTGATTTGGTTGGGCCTCATCTCAGATGTTGAGCTAGAATGGCGGATGGCCACTGTGGTGGGCAGGGCAGGTCTAGATCGTGGGCGCAGCTCTGCAGACTATGGAGTTGGGTCTGGTAGTTCCGAATTTTGTGTCTGTGCTGATCCTCTCCCAGAGGACTGCTCTGGGAAGCTGCCTGGGCCAGCAGCTTTCCGTTCCAATGACCAGGTGGTCAGGAGGGAGTTCTCCTGTTTGCTTTCTCCTTGCCCATCTGTTGGGCATATGCAGCGAGGCTGGGTTCACAGGTGCCAAGGCAGGTTGGCTGACAGAAGCCAAATTCTTTGCCCTCACATCTATCTGTCTGTCTGTCTGTCTATCTATCTATCTATCTATCTATCTATCTATCTATCTATCTTTCTATTTTTGGTTTTATCGAGACAGGGTTTCTCTGTATAGTTTGGGTGCCTGTCCTGGATCTCGCTCTGTAGCCCAGGCTGGCCTCAAACTCACAGAGATCCGCTTGGCTCTGCCTTCCCAGTGCTGGGATTAAAGGCCTGCGCCACCATCGCCCGGCCACCTTTATTTTTAATTCAGAGAAAAAGTGTGGGGGTGGGGTGGGGGTGACAACACGAGCTGGGAAGAAAGAAATAGAGAGTTTTACAAGTATAAGTGCTGTTTAAGTGCTGGTGTGGTTATATGGAGGTCAGTGAACATATCTTGGGAGTCGGGTGGGTCTCTCTTTCCACTGTGGGATTTGGGGATTGAGCCCACCTCCAACAATGATCTAGCACATGGTTGAATTGCCCTCTGACCCCTGGCCCCATGGACTCTTTGGTTCCTTGGGAAGTTGGGATATCCATTCATAATTGCTCATTCCTGGGTTTGAAACCTGGAATCCCAAGCTGCCTTGACAATCAGGCAGGGGAATCTCCAAGATGCTTCTCGGCTCTGTGGGGCTCCTGGGAATCTGGATTAGTGTCTGGCAAAGTTGTGTGTCTCCACATTGTACCTGTAGTTCCCATGCAGGCTGCCCCTGAGAGATGCTGCCTCCCTTCTTCATTTCTAGGGTTTTTTTTTTTTTTTTGGTTTTTTTTTTTTTTTTTGGTTTTTCGAGACAGGGTTTCTCTGTGTAGCTTTGCGCCTTTCCTGGATCTCGCGCTGTAGACCAGGCTGGCCTCGAACTCACAGAGATCCGCCTGCCTCTGCCTCCCGAGTGCTGGGATTAAAGGCGTGCGCCACCACCGCCCGGCATCATTTCTAGGGTTTTTCATGGCCCTATCATCCAGCTGCAGGGTAACTAAAGAAATAAGTGGACCTGTTGTCCCACTTTTGAGTCCTGCTCATTCTGATTATCCTAAACTGCAGCACCTCTATTTGGCCTGAGAGCAGGCTGTGCCATCTTGTCCCCCAAGCCTCAGGAAGGATCACCACCCCCTCCCCTAATATATTCACTGTTGCATCCCAGGTTGAGACAGATCCTGAGCCTGGGGCCGAGCAGGAGGCCTTTACTGCCTTGGAAGATCCCAGCACTGAGATGCCTTCAGACCCAGAATCTCCAGAAGTTCTGGAAACACAGCTTCATGGCCCCAAGGGGCCGCTGGGGGTAGACGACCCGGTTGATGCGGTGAACTTTGTGGAGGCTGAGGGCACTGAGGACCTGAAGGCCCTGAGTAGTGAGGAGGAGGAAGAGGAGGGAGCCACCCAGGAGCCCGAGAGCCTCCTGCCACCCTCAGTGCTAGACCAGGCCAGTGTCATTGCTGAGCGGTTTGCGAGTAGCTTCTCTCGGCGGAGCAGCCTGGCAATGGAGGATGGCAAGTCCAGTGGCCTTGGGACACCGCGGCTTATCAGCCGGAGCAGCAGTGTGCTCAGCCTGGAGGGCAGTGAGAAGGGCTTAGCCCGGTGGGGCAGCACCGGGGACTCCCTCAGCAACCCACCCACCCCTGAAGTGGCCATCAGTGTAGACGTGGTCACGGACAATGGCCCTTCTGTCAATGGGACAGAATCTTCAAATGTAGGCTCAGGCTGCCCTGCAGAACCGGACAGATCTTCCTGCAAGAAAAAGGAATCGGCGTTGTCCACCCGAGACCGGCAGTTGCTGGACAAAATTAAGAACTACTATGAAAACGCAGAGCACCACGATGCGGGCTTCAGCATCCGTCGGCGGGAGAGCCTCTCCTACATCCCTAAAGGATTGGTGCGTAGCTCCGTGTCCAGGTTCAACAGCCTTCCCAAGCCAGATTCAGAGCCAGCAGCTCCGGTTGGGTACAAGAGGCCAGGGAGTTCTCGGCCAGCCTCATGGGCCTTGTTCGACCTCCCAGGACCCAGCCAGTCAGGCACAGGGGACCTAGCTCCTGTCACAGATGCCGAGTTCCGCCCATCTTCAGAAATTGTGAAGATGTGGGAGAGAATGGAGTCTTCGGAGAGGAGTCCACGAACGGGGCCTGGCCAGAGCCAGGCCAATGGCTTTGAGCTGCAAGAGCCGCTGTTCATCTTGGAGGAGCATGAGCTGGGGGCCATCACTGAGGAGTCTGCCGTTGCCTCTCCGGAAAGTGCCTCCCCCACTGAGCAGCCCAACCCGGCCCACCTGGCCCGGGAGCTGAAGCAGCTGGTGAAAGAGCTGAGCAGCGGTGTCCAGGGGGAGCTGGTGACCCCACTGCACCCCCGGATTGTACAGCTCTCCCATGTGATGGACAGCCATATGAGTGAGCGTGTCAAGAACAAGGTCTACCAGCTGGCCCGCCAGTACAGCCTCCGAATTAAGAACATCAAGGCAGCGAGGCCACCTCTGCAGTGGGATAAAGCAACTCCTGACAGAGATGAGCAGATCCCCACCACCTCTGGCCTGCCCGAGGAAGCTGGAGAGTTGTCGGGGGGCAAAGGTATGGGAGTAGAAGGCTTAGGGGTAAAAAAACAATTAGAATCCAGTGCTTTGGGGGGAAAACAACCTCTAAAGAGACCATGCCATGAGAGGGCTGGACCCCGGGCACCACGTGGTATACAGTGAGCCTTGGCAACCGGTTTTGCACTCTTGAGACCCGTCCTGTACTCCTGATGGAAGCCTCAGGCTTCCGCCTCCCCCTCCCCAGCTCTTCCAGTTGAGCAGAGAGAGCTTGGAGAAATAGCCAGGGGCTTGTTCCTTATCAAGGTGAGAGCAGAGGGTAAAATGGGATTTCTTGTTTTTGTTTTTTTTGTTTTGTTTTGTTTTTTTGCTTTTGAGACAGGGTTTCTCTGTGTAGCTTTGCGCCTTTTCCTGGAACTCACTTGGTAGCCCAGGTTGGCCCTGAACTCACAGAGATCCACCTGGCTCTGCCTCCCGGGTGCTGGGATTAAAGGCGTGCGCCACCACCGCCCGGCCCAAAATGGGATTTCTTTCTGGACACTCCAGCCCCCACATGCAGCGGAAGCTAGTTCCCATCTCTCCCTTTGGGGGTTCCATCTTCCTTCGCTGTGGTTCACGCTTTCTCTCTCTCTTCCCAGCCAGGAGGAGGCCTGTGCTATCCCTCCTCAGCTATGAGCAGCTGATGGCGCAGGAGCGTGGCACCTCCAAGTCATCCTCTGCTGCGGAGACCTCCCCACGCCGATTCTCCCTCAGCCCCTCTGCACTCAGCCCAAGAACCGCCTCCCCCGGGTCCCGGCCCTCCACTCGGAGCCCCCTCAGCCCCTACGACACTGAGACCTTCAACTGGCCCGATGTCCGAGAGCTCTGCTCCAAGTATACGTCCCACGACAAGGCTGCCCAAGCTGAGAGCGGCTGGCCACGCGGCCTGCTGGTCAACCGGAGTCACTCCTTGCCTGAGAACATAGTGGAGTCTCCTGCGTCTGGCAAGGTGGGCCGCTCCTGCAGCCTGAACACTAAGAGGTGCCAGGGAGGTGGGGAGGCCTCCCAGCCCCCACCTCCTGAGTCTCCTCCCCAAAGCAGGCTGAACGGAGATGAATCCCTGTATATCACCGCAGACCTTACCCTGGAGAACAACCAGCGAGTGATTGTCATGGAGAAGGGGCCCCATCCTGGCTCCACTGTGGGGCTGGAGGAGGGCAGCAGGAAGGGACCGAGTTCATTCGTAGCTTTGAAGGGACAGAGCCAAGGTTCTGAGGAGTCTGCAGAGTACCAGCCCAAGGAAGAAGGTCCCAAGGACCCAGCAGACACAAACAAGCAGGGTAGAGTGAGAAACCTGAGGGAGAAATTCCAAGCCTTGAACTCTGTGGGTTGACTGACTCCTGAAGGAGAGAACAGCCACGCTGGGGACTGACGTGCTTCCAAACCGGGCCTGGCTCACTACGGCTGTTCCTCCATTCTTCTGGAAGAGTGCTTTGGGGAGCACGTGTGAACTCACCTGCTGCCTGTGCTGGCACGTCCTCACCTCCCCAGGGAGGTCCTACGATAACTGTCCTTAGGCCCAGATGAGCCACGTAACTTGTAAATACTTCTCTGATAAGAAGCCAAATATTTTATTTAAGCTGACTCTGCCCAGACAGAGCAAACACGGTCCTGGCTTCCCTTACTGGCTGGCCACTGCCTAGCTGAGGACCCAAGGGGAGACCTAGGGGCAGGCTTTGCTCTTTAACTGCCTTGTCTCAGGACCTAGGCAGGAATGCAGCCAATAATTTATTGCTTTCAATCCTGTGGGGTGTGTGTGTGTGTGTGTGTGTGTGTGTGTGTGTGTGTCCTGTAAAGAACGGAACGGACTTAGTTCGGGTACTCTTGAAGGTTGTCTTGCTGGCCCCGTGCCCGTTGCTCGTGTACACACATTTCATTATTCGCCAATGGTGCAATAACCACTGCTGACCGTCCAGCCAACCTGCGTGTGGCCTCCTTACTGGGGACCACGGTGGGGAGGGTTGTTCACGGGTCAGGGGACGTGTGATGCTCACTCCATGTCTAGGCCCAGGAAGAGAGCAGGAGACGCCAGGGTGCTCACAGGTCCGGTCAGGGACAGAGCGGGAGGTGGGGACTTCGTTCTCGGCCATGTCCGCGTCTGTGCATGGCTCTGTCCACACGCACAGTCTAGTGTCCACTCTGGGGTGGGAATCCCACCTTCGAGCCTGAGCTCTCCTCCCAAAGACAAAGTTGTACGGAAGTGCTGGAGCTGCCGGGGCCGAGCGGAGCACCTCAGATAAGCAGGCGTTTCTAGTGGCCAATGTCTTTTACTCATCTCTCCCTCTCCAGCGCCCAGGAGCAGGGAATCCTAAGGCCGAGGCTTAGAAATGTCCTAGAGTGCCTTGCAATGCTGTGGGAGTGCCTGTGCATCTTGTTAGGGTGGACCCTGCTCACAGCATCCACAGAAGTGGCTGGTTGCAGAGGGCCGGGAAATGCGCCATATCTGGGTGGGCTCTTTTCACCACGGAAGACCAGCCTTACTTTGTCTGGTTTGTTCTGTCCGGGGCCAGAAAGGAGGGGACTGTAGCGCCCTGGTGATTGATATAGAGAGCTCAGTCTCTCGAGTGTGTCTGCAGAATTAAGACCTGGGGATCGTCCAACCTAGGAGGATGGAGTGAATCTGAACGCTGGTCCGTCAGGTTCCCCTCTGTCAGGTGAGTGGTGGTCTCCTGAGCATGAGCAGAGCAGGACTGCATTAACCCATGCCCTGTCAGCTGCACTGAGTCTCCTGTGGTCACTTACAGAGTCATTGAGAAGACAGCCACTGGTTCTGAGCAGGCCAGTCCCAGGATATGACACCTGGTAGCAGCCGTAAAAGCACTAGAAAGGTGACTCAAAGGGCTTGTCCCTGCCTTGCTGTCCCCGAGCTGGGTCACCCAGCTCTGTACTTTCGTCATCTACAGATTGAAGGCTGGATGAGTCACTGTTTCTCAACCTCCATGATGCCATGCAGGCCTGGAGCCTGGGCACTGGTAGCTCATGTCTTCCGGATGAGCGTCACACTCCACCTCTAAGGTGTGCCTGGGAACCTTGGACGGGGACAGTTGCTTTCACTGGCACCTGGTAGAATTATCTGGGAGCTTCTGAAACCCGGCGGTCCTGTGTCCCACCCGGGCCAAACAACCCTGAAAGAAAGTGGATCCCAGGATGGATATCAGGCCCCTGCACCCTGTCGTTAGCAGCGTGAACAGTGGTTGCTTAGAAACAACTTTGCCCAAGACTTGATTGAATTCATGAATGAGCAAGCTTCCTCAGGGTCTCAGAATGGGTCTAGGGCCTGGATACCAACAGAGTCATCCCATAATACTCAGGAACAAACTAAAGTCCAACTGTCCCTCCGTTTCCCTGGTGCCTGCCCTCTGAAGGCCAGTTCAAAGGAACATGAGGCTAGTCAAGTAAGAAACAGAAACCGCCGGGCGGTGGTGGCGCACGCCTTTAATCCCAGCACTTGGGAGGCAGAGCCAGGCGGATCTCTGTGAGTTCGAGGCCAGCCTGGGCTACCAAGTGAGTCCCAGGAAAGGCGCAAAGCTGCACAGAGAAACCCTGTCTCGAAAAACCAAAAAAAAAAAAAAAAAAAAAAAAAAAAAAAAAAAAAAGAAACAGAAACCTACACAGAGTCTTACTGATTTATTAGAAAAACTAGTAAATGGGATTCTTCTGGGGAAGCACATTTGAGCGGGTGGAGGACGAGGCCCAGCCAGCCCCAGGACCAGCCCCAGATGGCGTGACCTGTGCCCAACAGGGTTGCACTCCTCTACAGTCTCCTCCTGTGTCCTCCCTGAGCTTGTGGACCAAGCCCTGTGGCCTGCTAGCCCCTTCCTCCTCTTGCTGAGGGAGGAAGGGGATCCAGGACCAGCTTAGGGGACCTGTTGCCCTCCAATAGGCAGGAAGGAGAGGTTGGGGCGGGGCTACACAGACTTCTGTTAGTACCAGTGGAGGTGGGGTGGGAGGGTCCTAGGACCCTCTCTTCCTCCTCAGCCTGTCTGCTGAGGCCCAGGACGAGGGGAGAGAGAAGGAGAACTGCCTGACCGTGCCCAGAGAGCTTCCTCCATCTACCCTGGGGAGGAAGCTTGTTATGCTGGTGTGGGCTGGAGCTGTGTTAACCCAGTTCGGGAGTACTGGCAAGGAAGACTGCAAAGTAGAAAATACCAGGGGAAAACCAGTCTCGCTAGGGCACCAGGAGCGCCTCGCCCTGGAGTGCAGAGTCCCCCCCAAAGTTGGCCACCTGCAGAGTCGGTCGGTCCAGTAGGTTCCGTGCTCGGGGCCTGGGTGATGTGGGTGAGAAGTGTGGGAGGACTGTGATGGTAGGGTCACGTGCAGCTTCCTAGCCTCCTGTGATCCTTTGGGGTGAAATTCTAGCTCTTCCGTTGGAGCCTTCTCTTTCTTGGCTTTGTGGAATTACTGGAATTTCTCACCTCAGGTGCTACATGGGTACATGTAGAGAGGAAATGTAGACCCTCGTCCCTTGGTCCCCAGCCCCCCAAAGACTAGACCAGGGAAACTGCCTGAGGGAGCTGCTTGCCACCTAATGCTTCAGCAAGGAGCCCACTTCCTGGCCCAGACATAGGCATGCCTTCCAGTGCACCATGGCTTTTTTATTTTTATTGTCAGGGGTGCAGATGCTTCCCTGCCCACTGCTTTGGTTTCTCCAGCTGTAAGAAGAGGCTGGTGAATGGTGCTAACTATGTTCCCCGTAGAAGAGGGCTATAGGATCTCCGATAAACTGAGGCCAAGTAAAGATGCTGCGGAGACGAGGAGATCCAGGCCCCGATGGCCAAGGTCTTCCTTCAGTGGTTATCTACTGGAGTTGCATTCATACTCATGTTGGGGGGTCACAAGGTGGAACTGATCTCTGAGTTATACCTGCCTGGTCAACAATGAGGGGTTCTGGGGAGGCCCAGTAACTGGATGCTTACCATTGAGCCTTACCCACAGGGAAGGCAGTAGAAACTGGCTGGGAGCCCTGGGGACACGGATGGTCTCCTAGATGAAAAGGCCTGTTGCCTCAACTCTACCTGACTTCAGCTGCCACATTGGGCAGGAGCTGTGTTGCTTCTGGTTGCGTAGCAGAGAAAGTCTTCAGGACCAGTGGTCCTGTTCTTCCACAGGCATGGGAAAGCGCTCCCTAGGGATAGGATGCAGAGCCCCTTTTGATGCTTGGAGAGGGGTAGTAGATGTTTGGTGATCTCTATACCATGTGACTCCCCAGAATCTACCAACTAGGCTTGCAGAAGCCAATCAAAAGGGGTCACACCTTTATGACTATGTCCCCAACATTCATTCCTGTGTTCCAGGGGTAATTTTATCACATGCCTGCATTTGTCACCCCTAGGTAATAACAGAGCTCTATGTCCAGCCACTGGCCTGGTACCAGCTGCAGGGGGTGGGGGAGGCAGTGGGCATTTAGCTTTGAGATACTTTACTGCAGGAGCTGGACATTCAGCTTGTATCTGGCACCAGCCCTGGCCACATATTGTTGGTTTGGTTGCAACTGGGAGTAGGAAAAAGAGCCGCAGTACAGAGGCAGAGCCTTAAGCAGGGCCGGGACCTGTTTGTCCCTCCTGCGGCAGAGGCCTGAGCCCTAATAGGCTCTAGCCAGGGTTTCCAAGGGAGCGGTGTGAGGGCTTCTGGTCCTAATACTCTCCTGATGCTAGGAGCAGCAAAGGGTACCATAGGGAGGAAGAGCAGGAGGCTCATTCACTCAGGACTCACCAAAACTCCTAGGGGTAGGAGAAGGAGATAAGAAGGGACATACTAGCCCTGAGGAGAGAGTCCCATTTCTGAGGGAGCCCAGCGGGGAGGAGGCTGGCAGTACTCAAAGCTTGACCCTTATTGTCCCCTTGGTACCCCACCAGCCCCTTGCCCAGAGCTGGGACTCGGAAGGCCCTTCCTCCTGCCCCTAAGGGGCAGGACAGCCATTGCCAATATCCCCTTTCCTTTCCCTGGCTGACTGTAGTCAGTGACCCCCAAGGGGGAGTTGCTATGGTCGTGGGCAGTGCTGGAGGAACCCCATCAGGCTTCCCAGCTTGTTGGGGGCAGGAAGAGGAGCATATATGCCTTACAGAACCCAGAACCGTTTCTAGCCCCAAAGGAGCTGGACCTCCTGTCCCTGGAGCCCAGCCAGCTGCATGGGGTGGGGGAGGTGGAGGGCTGTTGGCAGGCATCGGGAAGGCCAAGGAGGCCAGGCAGGCAAAGGCATTGCAGTGCAGTGTGGGCCCTGGGGCTGGCCCGGCAGCTCGAGCAGGCAGGCTGCAGGCAGTGGGTGGCAGGCAGGAGGAGGACTGGCCGCTGCTGCAGAGGTCCAGGCCATGGGCTCCTGGTCCTTGCATGTCCCCGATGCACACTGCAGTGCTGCCTGGCTGGCCCCGCCCACAGGGGGGCCCTCCAGCTGCTACTTCTTTTTGGGGAAGAAGCTAAACCTCTTCTCCTTGTCCTTTTTGCCGAGACTGGCATCCGGAGCAGCGAGGGATGGCAGAGGCAGGCTCTGTGCCTTGACACGGATGCTCTGGGACTCGTTGATGGCAGTGCTCATGCCCTGTAGCCACGACAACATCTCCTCCTGTGGGGTGGAGACGGCAGGGAGTCTAGAGGTACAGAGCCCTCCTAGGGCCTCGAAGGGAGGGGTGTGCTTCCGGCCGCTCCGTTCTGAGGGAGCGCTGAGATCGAGGGTCAGGTTTCCACCCACCGCACTGTTAGCCTCTTCTGAGTTAGGCCGCCTGTACTTACCTCATCCTTGCCGTGGAAGAGCCACTCACTGCCATTGCTTAACCTGGGAAGACAAAGGGTTTTGCGTCGTGGTACTATCTCCGGAAGTCTTTGCCTGGGCCGAGAGCTAGCCACTATCCTCTAGCCCCTCTTAGGGCGGCAGGCCATCCAAGAAAGCTATAAGTCTATGAGACCACGACTCTTTTAACTTAAAA